TAGCATTGCACCATGATCCCTTGTTTGGTTTGTCATTTGACTCGGAGGCCAGGCAGACAGACAGTCGCAGACACCGAGGGGTGAGGGGTGCCCATGCAGACACCCACTCGATTGTCTTTGAGAGGTGGTTTGCTCCAAGCCAAACCTGGGGACAAGGCTAAGGACCCAGGATGCCTGTCCCGGCTGAGATTGATCCATCCTGGATATCAGGAGAAGAGCTTAGCTCCTAGAAGGTGGGGAGAGAATCGTCGGGTCTGTGTGAGCTGGGGAGGTCCTGGACCGTGGGCTCCGGTCTCATCCCTGCCACTTGCAGAGGTTGTGTGACTAACTTCTCTAGGCCTTGGCCTCGCCGCCTGTGCTTCAAGAAGGCTGGCTAGCGAGTGAGTCTTGGGGAGCACTTTCTCCATCAACTTCTAAGCTTTCCCTTTGATTAAACTTTCTCCACAATCCCTGCAGACCTGCAGGGGCCAACGGCTCAGGGAGGGATTGAAAGAACACATCAGCCCGGACAATCCTGATGTCTTTCTTCTTCCAGAGATGGAATTAGCAGATAAAGAGCTTTAGGGATTGGATCCCGTATCCGATGGCGTTTTTCATTGTGTTTTCTTTAATTGAGTGTGGATGGGGACTCAGGGAAGGGACTCAGGTGCGGGAAGAGCGCGGCGCGGAAGGCAGGCTCTGTGGGCAGTGGGGGGGAGGGGCGCTCCAGTCCCCCCCATACTGCAGTGTCACCTTTACTGGTAGTTCACGGGCAGACATGGGGACATGGCTCAGGTCTGTCTCTGAGGACAGGGGAGTGGACGGATGGGAACGGAGGAAAGAACAGAGAGATGGAAAATCGGCACCGTTCCATCCCCGGAGCCGTGGGGAGACAGCCAGAGAAGGAAACGGACTGCGGATTGCAGGGTGCAGGGGGGACGGGACAGGGAGCCCGCAGGGCAGCATCCTGGCGGGGGGGGCGGCACGGGCCTGGAGGGAGGCCCCTCAGCCTGCTTACCCCTTCCCCCTGCTCCACACCTCCGTGTCTGTGTCCAGGAGCCAGGACAAGGGGAGGGAAGGTCTCCCCGAGGGGCCCTGCAGGAGCTCAGGACCGTGAGGCCTTGTTCGCACGCAGATCTGAGCTCAGCTTCCTGGGATTTCTCTCCTATGACTGGGATCAGCTTTGCAGCGGGAAGGTTCCGGAAGCTTTTCCTCTGCGGGTGAAGTGGTCCTCCCTTTACGGGAAGGAAGAGCCAGGGCTTCCGGTGCCCTCCCCGGGGCTCTAGGCTTGGCGGGCAGGGCCGGCCCCACACTGGAGCCGGGGCTTGCCGTGCCCCGTCGGTTCCTCCGGGTCCAGCCCTCAAGCCTCTCACCGTGGCTCTCCCTGTGAACGTGTGGAGCCACCGCCGCCCCCA